AAATTATCGCTTTGTATATCATAAATACTAATTTGCATCACTTGAAAACAATTACATTTAATAAAGACTTTTTCCTCTTAATATCATTTTTTTTTTCATTTTGACTTTTAAAGTCATGATTATGGAACTAAAAAATATTATTATATAATAACTATAATGCATATGGAATTATGAGATGCGAAGTCATAATTGTAAGTTTAGATATGATTATAATGTGGCTAAAGTCATAATTAAGAGGCATAAAGTTATAATTTAGTTATAAATTATAGCTCTGTATATCATAAATACTAATTTGCATCACTTGAAAACAATTACATTTAATAAAGACTTTTTCCTCTTAATATCATTTTTATTTTATTTTTTCATTTTGACTTTTAAAGTCAAAACTATTACTTTTTATCTAATAATTTTGCATGTATTCTAAAAGTAATACTTTGAAAATTTGAAATGATGACTTTTAGTCATACTTGTGACCTTTCATCTCATAATTAGGATTGTAAAAGTTATATTTTGACAGAGCATGACACATTTTTTTGCTGTCAAGTGATGGAGGGGAACTGTTATATAAATCACATTCCTTCAACTCAGGGATGATTAAACTGTTGACAATCCTAAGACGATCTAAGACATGAGGTTGTCTTTATATCAGTGTTTTTTTTTCTAAAAATGGAATCATTCTAAATATAAAGAAAGATCCACATTTTTTTTTAAAAGATTAATCAATATACAGGTTTCTGTGTAATTAGGTTACCTTTGCAACAAAAAAAAATAAATGTAATGTTTGATTGGTTGATTGATTGATTGATTGATTGATTGCCTTTATTGATCTCCCAGTGGAGAAATTTACTCGTTACATCAGCTCAAATACTCAAAGCAGAAGAATGTGCCAAAGGAAGAAAAAGTTTCATGGGATATATATACAATATGCACAGTACCTCCACATATAACAGCTTTGTTCTTTTTACTTGTAGGATCATTATGCAGGGTTATTGCACAGGGTGTTTACATGGGTATTTATATAGATGGATATTTATATTTCTTTATATAGTTATTGCACTGGGTGTTAAATATAAAGAAACAGGTTTCAGATGATTTAGGAAAAATAACTGTAAAAACACAAAATGCAGTTTTTAATTGATGAGTCTATTTAGAAAGAGAAAAAAAAACTATCCAAGCAAGGTTAATTCTATGTGTATAAGTTTAAAACATAATAACTGTGTTTACAGTCAATCTGTGCTCCTCTGGTTTTTTTTAATTCATGAATACTGACCTTCACTGAGGCAGGTGAGCCCTTCAGCGCTTTAAGTGTTCAGAGTTTTTTTGTGACTTCTGAGTTAAATATGGTCTCCTGGAGTCCCACAGATGAACAAATAGATTTTTTACTTTTTTTGCAGACTAATAAATGTTATCAACTTTTTTTCTTATTTGTTCTTGAGTTTTAATTTGCTTAATTTAAGGGACTGTTGATTCAACAGGTTCGGCAGTAATCAGGAACATGCGCAGCGTTGCCTGATTACTGTCTTGATAATTGGTAAAGACTTAACTGGTTTTCAGAGAATAATGATAATCACGTTTCTTCATTATATTGGAATGAAGTAAACAAGACGGTATTCACTTGAAGTAATTATGGAGTGTATGATGGTAGGCTTTCCTCTCACAGCTGCTAATCAGGGCTCCCTTCATGTTCAAAACAATATTCCGAGGATCAAATGGAAAACTTAATCTTGGTATTAATACAAATGTTTCTATATAGTTCATCTGATTTCAGGAAATCTGGTGATGCATAAAAAAAATATTTAGTTATATTAGGTTCTGCCTATAGAGCACTGGAATCCTTAGGTTTCGGTGTCGTACAGTACTACTTTGAATTATTGGGGAGCAGCGGTTGGAGTAGAACCTGTAACGTCAACAAAAATGGTGGAACTTTTAATAATTTTTATGGAGATGTATACAGATTGACACCAGTGCAGTTTTCTGGTGGCAAATTGTGTGTGTAGTGCAGCTGTATAATATTACACAGAGGAGTTAATGCCAAATCTCCACAAGTGACAACTCGGCAAGAAAACTGCGACTAGGCGCCTGAATGAAAAGAAGGTGTCTGGCAGGAAGGAGGAAGACAAGTGTGACAGATTGAGATTTTGCTGCAAGCTGTAAGTGATGAGCAGGAGTTGAGTTAGAGGGCCGGATAAACAGGAAGGGGTGGAGGAGCAGATGAGTTAACACTGTATTAGATAGATAAAGAAGAATGTTGCACCTCAGCAGACAAAAGGAAAATGTAAGACTCCTTTTCATTGTTGGTTGTCCTAAAATAATTGTAAAGTAATGGAGAAAGAAAGTCCAAAAGGTACACTTAAACTTAACATTTTTGATAAATGGGAATATGCATATTGATGGTAGGGATGTCTTTATGATTACTTATTCTAATATACTAAAGTAAGGCCAAGTATTGGAGCCTGTTGATTCAGTGATTGTGTTTGCCTAGAGAAGAACCAGACTAAAGGAGAAAGTTATGGGTGTAACCAAATGGAAGAATACATTTTCTTTGCTGTAAAACAAGCTTTACAAGTATCCTTCTGCTACTATAGATATGTGGTTACACAATATTTTTACTGCATGTGTTGAGTATGCTGTCTTTCTGGAGGACACAGCACAAAAATGTCAATTTAGTGATAAAGTTTCCCAACAGTTGCACGGTTTCCAACAGAGGAGGATAGAGAAAGAGTTTGCAGAGGGAATACTATCTTCTTTAATTATTTCTACTGCACTTCATGAGTCTGTCCTTGAAAGACTGTAATTATTTAAGAAAATTCCTTACAGAGTCTATCACAAGCCAGTAAAACATGTAAAAGAAGGAGCTCTGGTCCTTTGAACACACCTCACCCTCAATGAAACATGGTGGCGATAGCATCATGCTGCGGGACACTACTGGAAGAAAACATGTTCAAAAAAATAAACAAATTGAAAACTGGAGTGGTTTGACTTCTAGCTGAAAAATAACAACACATAACAGAGCTACAGGTACAATTCAGAAGTTTAGATCAATCTGCACTGTTGGCAATAATTTTGAAAGATGTCTAAAGCCTGTAATTGGAGGATTGTTTTTACACAGTATTGACTAAATACTAGTGCACATTACACTTTTTGAAATAATTTCTCTTCTGCTTCACAAGTATGCACTATTTTGTTGGTTTATCTTCTAAAATCCCAACAAAATAGGTCTTGTGTTTTAGATTTAAATGTGAAACATTTAAAATGATAATAAATACTGTTCCTTTTTACTTTTGCAAATAACAGTGATTCACAAAGGGATGTTGCACCTTTATTTGAGTTATTGTTAAAACTCCAAAGTAAATGATTGTTCTGATGAAACCGTTTAGTTTTTGTTTTTTTGCATTTCAGCATCTTCGTGTACGATGCACAGCAGGCGCAGAGTTTTACACCCGGCATTGCACCAAGGTCAAAGGGCAAAGTGGGCACAGGTTCATGTTCATTGATGGAGACAAATCTGTATCTGGGTCATACAGGTCAGTGAACATTACTTAACTACATGCGTATGATGGAGGGGGTTCAGGATGGGGTGATAGATCATTTGTTTAAGAATATTTCTTACTTTAAATCAGAAGTTCATCAGTTCAAGCAGCTGTATACAAGTGCTAACAGCAAAGAATGTAAAGCCATCATATTAAACAGGAAGGGTGTGGCATCTGTGTTGCACAAAATGTGTGTCAACCACAGAAAAAGGCAAGCTTGTAATTCAAATTGCATCACAATGCCAAGTAAGTGCTATTTCCTTTATTTGAATGAGTCCAGTACAATTATGGATTAAACATTTACATAGAGGGTACTCCAATAAGCCACATTACAGGTATAACTACCTTTATTTTCGGAGACATGACAAGTTTTGGGTCATCATTACCATTATTACAAATAGATTGAAAAGGGGTGGAAGCCTGATTAAATTTGACCTGACTTGAAAGTATAGAAATAGGGCCTCATAAGGAAAGAAAGCTGTGCAGAAATGTTGGAGCAACATTTTAAAGCATTTGTTAGGAAGTAAAAGCTTGATTACATATGAATATTTTTTTTAAAGATAGGAACCATAATCATTACCACAAAATTAAATTATTAGATACCTAAAGGAAAACAAAATCAATGTGTCTCAGACCCTTAAAATATGTGTGCAGAGTGGAAACCCCCCACCCAAAAAAAAACTAAAGAGAAGCTTTTCAATTTTTACCAAGTCAGATGGTTTTAATTCTAGAAAATAATAAAAGACCATATCTAAACTTTTACATTTAGGCAAATGTGAAGTACTCAGAAATTTTACATAAGTAAGAGTAGCACAATTTCAACATGTTTTTACTCAAGGAAATGTAACAACGTAGCCATCCATGGAATTACTCAGACAAAGAATATTTGGTAAAATTTTGGTAAAAAAGGCTACTCAAGCATGAGTAACATCACATCTGATTAACTATTTGATCAGAGAGACTGGAAAAGTACAAAGTTATGTGCAATTCTTGTATTTTAACACTTAGAATAATGAATAGCCCAACTACAAAAAAAACAAACTAAGGCAGATAAAAAAATACTTTTCCAAATCAATAAAAGATTTGTCATGTGTTTTACGTTTAATGTCACAGGAGGCTTAGCATATAGAAAATAAGACTGGAGCAATCAAACATGACTAAAACCCAGAAGTCTCATTTTAACATAAGCTGTAGGTGTGTGTCTGGTGCATTGTTGTATAAAACATCAGATTTCACATATTACATCCCATCTCTGTATTTACAAAACTGAAAAAATTATCTGGCAAATTTTGTCTCTTCACATTGTGGCATGTAACGACAATAATAGAGTCAATGGTAATAGTAATAGTAAGTTTCATGAACAAGATATGTTTTTTCTGCTTTAAAACAATGTAGCTTGCCACCACCAGTGTTTAAGTGTGTGCGTGAATGGGTGAATGACTGAATGTAGTGTAAATCGCTTTGGTCAAGTCTCCAGACTTGAAAAAGAGCTTTATAAGTACAGGCCAGTTACTATTTACCATTTACAATCAGGCAGTTTCAGTGCAAGGTTGCTTAGATTAAAAGTAGCTTGATTCAAAACAATTATTAATTAACTGAAAAGAATATTAACACCTATTTATTGTTTGATGACTTTTTTTCTGTTTAGTTTCACATGGACGTCATCACGGCTCGACAGAAATCTCATCACTGTTATCACGGGCCAGGCTGTGGATGCATTCGATCAACTTTTTCGCTTCTTGTATATGAATTCTACTTTTGTTGACCTTAGGCAAGTCCTCACAGAGCCAGAGCCTGAACCAGACACTAGACATCAGGTTCAATCATTGCCCACTCCTTCTCCTGCTATCACTAGAAAACTCTACAACCCCAAATACGCCCTTGTTGCTTTAAATAGCCCTACTACTGTGGACCTGAATGGCAATGATAGTCCAAAAGAACCTGAACTCTCAGAAGAGTCCAAAAATAAGAAGAAGCGAAAAAGAATACATGGAGATCTCCAACAGGATCCTCCTCCTCTCCATCCTGGACTAATAAATCTAGAGAAAGCCCAATTGATCTCATACCTTCCCACCTGGCCAGAGCCTGATCCATCAAACGACGTGATAGGGTTCATTAATATTCGGGATTCTAAAAAACCAACTCAAGTTCATCTGCAACGCTCTGAGATGTTTGAAACAAGCCAAGCAATCAAGTTTAGCAGTCCATTCAGCAAGCCACAGGAAACCTTGCCAGAGGTCGCAAGACCCCGAAAACAAACTGCACAAAGTGAAACTAAGACTGAGAATTTGTCGGTAGATAAAGCAAAGCCAGAGCAGAAAAGTATAGGTCTTGTTGACAGCAATAATAAAGAAATAGCTCCTGAACAAAAAATACCCTTTGATAAACAAAATTTAAATTCTAAAATGGATGAAACTAAACTTCTTCAAACAGAGGACAAACTTAGTTCAAACAATAACACAACTCCAGGTTTATGTCAAATGGAACTTAGTTCACCCGCACTACCCCAAGCTAGTGTTGAAGCACATGCACCTAAAAATGAACAACCTTCAGATCCTTCAGGAACCCAGATTCACTCCACAACCACTTTGTCAGAGCCCCTCAAAGACTCTACATGTGTACAAGAATCGGACACTGTGACTGTTTTTCCAGCACAAAATGATTCTGTGGATCAAATAAACACCCAGGAGTCAAAAACTGCACAGAAATCTCACCTTCACCAACTACCTCTCCTAAATACAGAAGGCACAGAAGAAGAGCCTTTTGTATCACATGTTTCACACACTAATGCTGTGAGTATGAAACCCAAAATCTCTTCTGAAAAGACTTGCAACCTCCAATACCCTGATGAACCCAAGTGCGCTGCTACCGATTCTGTCTCTCCAATGCAGTCTGAAGTGTTGCCTTCCAAACCTAAACTTACAACCAAAGCTAGAAGTTCTTCTTATACTTTTCCCTCCACCACCTCACCCTCCACCCTGTCTCCCTCTACCTTATCTGTTCCAGCATTACCTTTACTCTTGTCCTCTACATCTTCTTCTACAGATTCTGTTACTCCAGAATCTAAATCTCTTACTGACCAGCTGTCTAAAAAAGATAACATCAATAGCAAGACAACGCCAGAGATCTCTGCTGTCAAGAGATCTGAGATCAATTTAGAACAACAAATTGATAATGATGAGTCGGTTCTTGAAAGTTTGGTACAAATATCCCCAGTGCAAATTCTTGAGAGTGTCCCAGTACTGCACAAGGACATTGCTAGTGAAACAGGAGATCAAGAACACACAAAGCACTCAAATATTTCTAAGGATGCCAAACATGAAACAAAGACTGTCACTTCCCACAAGATGACGGATAAGGAAGCTGAAGGAAAACACAACGGCAGAGCAGAAGAGCAGTCCGTCCCCAGCCTAGAAACACAGTCCGATGTTTCAATGCAAGATGATTCAAACACAGCCATCTTGAATATTAAAAAGATAAAACCAGAAAATATTGATTCAAAGACAAACATTAACTGCATAACCAAAGCAATAACAGACACCAGATCTTCAGATGAAATCTGTACTAACTTAGAGTGTGCTAAAGAGACAAATGTCACTCAAACATATCATGCAAGATGTCATGAACCTCAAAAAATATCATATAGTAATTTTACATTACAAGAAACCGATGTAAAAGATTTGGAGTCTTTAACAAATCCAATAAACTGCCTATCACTCAAAGAAAAACACAGTGACGACAGAGAGAGTTCTGCACATGCACTGAGTCAGCCTCCTAAACAAACAAATGTCCCATCAGTAGACGGAATGGACATCATTTTAAACTCCATGAAAAAACACAAGCATGACACCCTGCAAGAGCAAGCTTGCAAAGCACAACCGGGTGTGCATACCTCCAGAAAAACACTTAGTTTAAACCTTTCCAATGTGCAAGTCACAGATTTCAGTGCGCAATCCAACAAACAAGAATTGCAGTTGCCCACAGCTGTTGTAGAGACTCCAATAGCAAAAGTGTTTCCTAAAGATCTACCCACCACAGATTCACGAACAAACTCACCAGACCCACGAACACCTACACCTGATACGTGTGATGGTTACTTCTCACCAAGAGAAGACTCCACTCTCTCTACTACCTCTGAAGAATACTTTGAATGTATTGAATCTCCTTCACATGAATCTGTTATTGATGCAAGTAGATTTCAAAACCATGGGATCATTAGGAAACATAGCACAACATCTTTGGAAAGTCCTTTTTCATTAAGTGTTGGTACCAGTCAGGTAAACCTGGATAAGAGCTCTAATCCTGCGGCATTAGCCAGTGTAAGACAGAGTGCTGCTTGCACTGAATCTAGTACTTCAGCTCGGACTGGTAGAGATCCTTCTACCCCAGTAGTTGATACAAAAGTACACAGCAAAGAATCCAAGGTCATAGATAAAAGGAATAGCAAAGAGGAGGCTAAAAATGAGGTACAAAGTTGCAACACAAACAAAAAGGAGGAACAAGAAAACCAGAGAGTTGGGAGGACCAACAATAAGGAGTTGAATAGAGTTCCTGGGCCTTCAAAACAAGACTTTGATATAAAGGAAATGACCTCAAAACTCAGCACGACCTCTGGGAGACTGCTTGAGGGAGGCATGACAGAAATGGAATCAGTGAAGAAAGAGCCAAAGCGGATGTCCACTGGTGAACTTAGACCACAACGGGTTTTGTCCGAGGGAAAGAAAGCATCTGTGAGCAAGGAAAAGCCACTGAACCAGGTTGCACTACCTCCAAGCAATATGGAGACAAGAAGGAGGCAGTCTACCAAGGAGACAACAGGACAGAAGGTAGGAACAGATACATTTTAATTTCTGATGAGGCAATAGTTTCTTTTGACATATGGCATATTTAAATTCCCACTAGATGTTGATCAAAGCAATGTTGAAAAATAAGGAATTTTTTTCTAAAGCTTTGTTAGATTTTTGGTATTATAGGTAGCTTTAAAAAGACAATAATCTGACATAATACCTGAGGCTGGAGCCATCAGGTAAAATTGAGAGAACTGCTATAGCCTCTGTATTCTGATTATTGGTCCCACCAAAACTTACTCAAAGTCTCAAGTTTGCCTTTTTTCCCCCTGATTTTAACATATAAACTTTGACAAATATGTCACCTGCTGACTAAATGACTCATGAGCCAAAGTGCCAATATAAAGAGATTATCAGTGCTGTTCACTCTACTTGTCAGTGGTCATATTGTCATGCCTGGATATTTCCAGTGATATATCTTATATTTTTATTTAATAAACTGCTGTCTACCTTTGTTATGTCTTAGAAAAATATATCTTCTGTCTCTCTACAGCCTCTTCATCCTTCACCCAAATCTCAGCCACGTCAGCAGCCCGGCAGCAGAGGTTCTTCCCCTTCCCGACCACTGAGTTCCTCTAGACCTTCCCCTGCCTCCCAAGCTCAGGGGACCTGTCGTTCGGGGATACGTGATCTCAACCAGACAGAAAGCACGTTTCTTCAAAATAATCTCAAGGCATTAACTCTCAAACCACCTCCTCGTAGATCACAGTCCAGATCTCCCTCTCCTCTGAAAGCACTTCCTGCTGGGTCAGTACCAGGACGAAAGCAGGTCTCTCAGAGCCAGCCGCGATTCCCCCCTCGCCAACCTCCTGCAGCACAGATTCGTTCAAAACCCGACCAACCGCAAATCCAGACGGCAAAGCCACAGGCCGCCAATCTCCATATGCTCTCCAACCTGCAGCCTCATGTTTCCCCTCATGCCTCTGCTGCAATAAGGTCTGAACAAGCAGTTCAGGAACTGGAGGAAGCAAGGGTTCCCTTTAACTTATCCTTTGGGAGGTTATATAACTTTAAGGGATTAAAAGACAAATGGACCAAGCTGCCAGCTCAGAGCAGGAGAAGTAGCACTGGCACACCAGTAAAAGAGCGCAACAGCTCAAGCTAGTGATGTTCATGATTTTTTTGTTACTGAAATCTTAGACCAGAGGACAGGAGATTTGTTTATCTTTTACACTTCTTTTAAAAAAGTATGTTAAAATTCCTGTCAATTTCTATATAAGCGTATTTTATTTTGTTAAATTGTTTGGTTTGCACGTGCAAATTTGGGTTTATTGATCTGTTTATATTTTGGTGCATAAATAAGGTTTATTAAATTGTATGTTTGGAATAAAATTGAAATTGTGCATTGCTGTAAAGTCCAGTTGTCTTTTCTGACAATTAAATGTCTCCAAAAAAAATAAAATAACTTTCCTCCTCTGAGCTGTGGTTAGTCGTGCCTTTTCGATTGTAAACATCGTGACAGTTTTACACGCTAAATCCTTGTCTGACTATGTTTAAAAAAAGTTTTGCAATAAAAATTTGAAACAGAACAGAGGATGTTCTACAAATGTATCTGACACATCATGGCTTTTGACTACTTTGTATTCATTCACAGTGTGTCTTTAGGTCTATTGATTTATTCTTTGTTTACACCAAAACCATTTAAATTTAAATGCTTTTGGACAATGCCTTTGCCCAAAGCCAAGAACAAACTTGGGAGATGAACACCGTAATCAGAAACATTGAAAAGCCTGTTTTGCATTAAACAAAAAAAGATTGTAATATATTTCTTTATGGAAGTTGCAATATTTTTGTTATCTTTTTCCAGCAACGGATGAAGCTTTGGAGAGACTGTATGTCACAAACCCACATAAGTAAATGTATTATTATAATACACATTTTCATGTTTTAAACCCTTTTTTGTTTATTTCCGTTTTGGGTTTGCTTTCCGCTTCCACATCTTTTTCTGTACATATGATCACATTTTCTTTCGGTTTCAAATCGTAGACCTCGATCTGACGATCAGGCGTGACATCAGTTGTTAGAGACGTGGGAAACACTGTGGACAGCATGCCCCACAGTACTGAACATCTGCTCCTGTCTGGTGAAATGCATCATGATATGGGGAGTTTGAACATTTCAATACTTTAGATTCAAATTTCATATAAGCTGCAGTCACATGACACTCTTGGTAAATTACTAACAAATCTAACCTATTCAGGTGGTGGCTGATATTTGCAAAGTTTAGCAGGGAGAGAAAAATATATTCTTTATGATAAACACTTAAGACATTGGAATATCCCACAAAGTATCTAAGACTGCTTTTTTCTTTAATATTATGCTCCCAGAGGTGTACAAGTACTTTGTTAATGACAATACTAGTACTTTGTTACCTTGCTTAAGTAGGGTTTTTGGCTATCTATACTTTACTGGAGTAATTCTTATTTAAACAACTTCCTACTACTTACGTTTTTTTTGCAATTTTCCTCTTCTTTCTACTCCTTACATTTTAAAAATAGACCCATTTGTTTTGCTGATTTTCGTTATGGCCTGTTATTAAAAAAAACCAAAAACATCAAAATAGTTTGTTTTAATCGCTTTAATTAATTTCTCTGTGGTTGGACTGGGTGCTGCACCAACATGTTGTTCGCCACATACCAAAATAAAGTTTTTCAAGACGATGCAAAATTAAATTTGACACTGTTACCATTACTTATAAAACTTAGAAAATTAAGTGTAAGTAAGTTTAATAGGGTAGTGCAGCACAGCATCTGTCCTTTAATTTTTTTCCTGCATTACTTTTACTTTTATACTTTGAGTAGTTCTAAAAATTGTCCTTTTATTTGATTAAAAAGCTGAACTTGATACTCTAACTTCTACAGGAGTGTTTTTTTTAAGTAGAAATACTTCTACTGGTATAATTAATAAACATTAATACTTTTGACACCTCTGGATGCTACTGATAAACACCAACAGCTGCTCCTTTTTAATGAACTGCTGTATTTAAACCTACAGCAGTGATATAAGTAAAGCAACATACAGTAGAAAAAATATTTTATGTTTTCACAAACCAGACTATAGTGAGAAACTATAAAATCATATGAACCATCTGAGCCTCTTAAATATTAGAAATGGGCTGGCTCATGCTTCATTCATTTTAATACCAAATGTCACTACTTTACTTTAGTGCCTGCTGAACAGCATTTGTTTTAGTGGAAACAAATTTTTACACCCAGGCAAGGAACAGAGAACAGCAGATGTGTTGCTGGGCTCACTAGGAATAGCAGCCAGAGGAAGGATGCTACATCCATCTTTTTGTGTGGAGAAGAACATGAGAAGGTTTTGCATTAATATCACCAACATTTAGTTGCAGCCTTCTTATCAAACCCTAAACAGTGCTCTCACAAAGTCTCTCACAGTGTAGCTTGGCTGGCAGCGGTGATAGACATGTTTTAGGGGAAAAACTGTTTTCCCTTTTTGCACAGAGAAATCTACCTTTCTTTAGGCAGAGCCTGCAGCAACATAGCAACTTTCACCTAAAAACTTTCTAGCGAAAACTCTTGCACTTTACAGATCAGGTATTCATGGAGTAAGAAAGGAATTGTTTAAATAAATCAAGGAGTCTAAAGGAGTTTAAAGTTTGCAATGAGAGCAGACATACACAGTGAAAAAACAACTGTTATTTGACCTAGAGAGTTCAAGATAACTGTTTCAGATAACATTTGGTCTCACTCCAAACTAGTTTACAATTTACTCTATAACCAGTGTCAACATTTCAGAGATAATTTAATAATTTTAGTGTCAAAATCAGGACGACCTTTCAGAGACTGGCCAGTAATCAACACTATATAGAGTAAAAGTTACTCTGCACAGTTGTCAAATTTTATAATATGAACTCCAACACTTGAGCAGATTTACACTCCCTATAGTTGTTATACTCTTAGTAGAGTAAATAATTTGAATTTTTTACACCCAGTTTTTTACTGTGTGGACTAAAGTAATCTAGCTGGATAAACCCTGATTTGAAATGTTAAGGGTTTGGTGGTGGTAGCATCATGCTGTGGTGGTTCCTTTCCTTAGCAGAGGGAAGTAAACTGGTTTGACTTCATAGTAAAATAAATGGGGCTAGATGCAGGGTAATCCTGAATGATGCATAAGTTTTTACTGACTGCACATTTTTATGACTCAGATTTTACTCATAAGAAATGTCAAACCTCATGAATCATTTTCTGCTTCCCAAATACACACTCTGTCACATAACATCTATGTTAAAGGCACTGTTTGTTGCTTTAAGCAAACAAAATGCCTACAAGTTCTAAGGAAGTGGTTATGCAGCAGTCTGTTTGGGAGCAGTTCATTAACATTCAGTCCAAAGTAGAATGATTTCAGTGTTTTATGACTCATTCACAACTGCACTTTGAAGCTATGGGAACGCTGCCAACTTTGATACTCCATCTATCATCCAGGCCTCAGAGCTGAAAAAAAAAAACTCCCTCTGGGATTTCTCCTCACGTTATGCTGCACAGCATGTAGCAATTTTGAAGGTATCAGACATCATTTATGTCAAACGTGCCTGTCAGTTTTACCATTCCTACGAAAAGAATATTATATCAGAGTTTTGTTAGCATCTTTGAGCTTCATTCATTCATTTAATTTCATATAAAATGGTAAAGACTTCAGGTGTCAGACAGGAGCACCCCTCGTGACCCTGCTTAATCGTGAAGGAAAATGGATGGATTGAAAAGAGTTCGGTCAATTTTAATTTTTTATTGCTCCAGAGAATTCAGGAAATTAGCAATGCTTTTATTGTCCTGTGCAATAGTTCATTAGTTATTTAAGGTTTGGACTTTAATCGATTCCAATTTCACCTACGTTAGATGTTAACAATGCAGGTATGACTGTGTTTTTATTATTAATATTTTGAAAAAAAGGTTTAATTTACTTCCTCTTTGTTGGTTTTGTCTCCTTTATTTCCAACCCATTAAATGTAAGTTTGATTCTGTTTTTGCTCCAGATATTATTTTTTTTGTGTGATATTTTTTTCTGGTAGTGTTGGATAATTATGTTTTTGTTGTTCTTCTTTCTCCAGTAATTTGTTTTATTATGTTCCCTGCCCTGCAGCACCTTCTCTTATTGAAGTTTTTAGTTTGTTCTAATCGTTGGCTTCTCTGATGTAAGGTTGGGACATACCAACAAGCTCTATTCAAAACCCCTGCAGCCTCAGGTGTTTCATTAAACTTGCTGAGTCTTTATTTTTTGACAACAGAAAGTGCAAAATCTCTAGATTTTAAATGATTTAGACATTGCCATGCAACAAACTTGGAGCGTTGAGCATCCTGCATGTGGATGAAGGTGCATGAAAACAAAAGAGGAGGAGAGGAAAAGTCCTCCAGTCACAGAAAGCCATGGAGTTAAGGGGGAAAAAGAAAAATCAATGTACCGGTACACATCTTGTCAGATAACAATGAAGTTTTTATTGTGTTGCAGTTTTCTTTGTGACCATAAAATGTTGCTAAGCATAACTGCCTGTGTCAATGATCTCCAGCTAATTTTCTCTTGGAGTGATTCCTAAATAAAACTGGAGGATTACCCTTGTTATTTAGGAGATATAAGGACATGTGTTTATAAAGTAATAACATAGGATAGATTTTCATGTGGCTGTTTAAGTTACATGCTATATGCCTGCCCATGCATACACAAAAGAAAACAGATATTGTTAGGCTTTCTGGGAGTTTGCTGTTTTTTCTGTTGTGAGTGAGTTATCTGTCACAGAGAGGATCGTCGCTGATAGCTGGGCCGACCTGTCTTCTGTTATTGTTCCAGACAACCAGTTTAACTCGGTTTGTCTCCAATCTTCCTGGAAAAGGTCTCACCTGTGTGCAGCAGCTCTTAGTCTCCATCACCTGCCTGCCCCGTCTGCAGCAACGCATCTTCTGCAAGTACCAACACACTTGGATCACACTCAAATTCTCCTGGACCTCTGGGGTTCAGCCCACTGAATCAAACCGCTGCAGATCCATGTTATCTCCCCTTCATGCCTCAAAGCAACCAGACAGTTAACCTGACTTCCCGCAGTTCTCTGCTTCCAGATTTGTGTTGTTTTTTGTAAATATAACGTTAAAAAACACGTTCTCCGTGTGATTCTGCAACAGGTCAAAAAACTACAAACCAGCTTGGAAGTTACGTTATCTTATTGCTTTCATTTAAGACAGAATGGCAGCAGCTATTTTCCTCAGTTACATGTTTTAGTGTAACACTGAGATATGTATATATTTTGATTTGACTGTACAAATGCACTGGTTTAGGGGCTGGGAAAATAGTAAATAAGTAAACAGCTGTTTATAGATTTGGCTCAAACATCCTTGAAATCTTTCAGTTTTAGATGAGAGGTTTTTATTTTTATTTTAGGAGGCTGTTTTGAAGTGTGAGCTAAAATAGAGCAGATATGAACATCTTCCACTCTAGGTAAGATATTGTCTACACACAGCTTTTTTTTAAATAGTGACCAGCACAGCAACATTTCAGTATTTTTCCTTATTTTTTTCCGCCACACATGGTTGTTTAGTAACTGGTTTTCTTTCTACTTGTGTATAAATGACTAATTTAAAATCAAAACACCTACACAGCTTATTTAATGATTATCGATTCTCCTTAAGGTTTTTTCTCTTTTTTTTCTTTTTTTTATGGATTAGGATGTTGGACTAAAAATGCACACTCCATGCATTGTGACATCATCTATCCAATTCAGCTCAGCACTTAAAGATC